CAAGAACGTGAGCAGAATAGGAATGTCCTCTTCAGCAGTGGAATATACTTGTACAAGCAAGACTTGAGTCACTTTTCTTCTTTGCCTCAAACCTCTGTTTTGAAACAGGGTTCTGAGAAGGTGTGCATCACCTCTGTTGTTCTCTAGATCATGGGGCAAGTTACCTGGTGTGGAAGGAGTCTGTGACCGATTACTAAGAGGGCTCATTTCCTATGCATTAAATCACAGCTACAGTGTTTATCTTCATTACACATATTAAAATGTGGTATTAATCTCTAGGAATTGTTCTTGAATAACTTGACATACATTACAAGCATAATTTCTTTACACACGTAAAATCTGTTATTTATTTTCATAAATTGCTCTCGAGAATGTGAGTAGAACCAGTAGAGTGACGACACCAAATGTATTAGCTGCAGCTTCATGACTGCTTTGCTACGTTCAGGGAAAATTATTTCACCTCTCTGGACCTTAGTTTCATCATCTGTAAAACAGGCGGAATAATTGGCAAAGCAATAATAAAGGGTAATTTAACTATATATATTGGGGTGGATTTGGACAGGGCTGTGGATTCAGTTCACCTTTTCAATGATTCCTGCAACACTGACTAGCATTTTTCTGGATGACTGCAGATTTATATACAAAAGTCCTGATTTATTATTTTAAAGATCAGTAATTTTTCAACTTCTTTAGTTTGTTTCCTTATCTGTAAGTTGGGGATAATTAAAGCACCTTACTCAAAGGATGCTATGGACTGAAAGTTGTTGCCCCCCCAAAATTCATACGTTAAAACCTAACCCACAATGTGTTGGTATTAAGACGTGGGGCCTTTGGACGGTAATTAGTTCATGAGGATGTAGCCCTCATGGATGGGACTGTGCCCTTATAAACGACATCCCAGAGAGCTCCCTCGCCCCACACTGTGTGAGGTAATAGCAAGAAACAGTGGTTCATAACTACGAAACTGTATGCCCCCGTTGGCCCAGGACCATCCCTCTTTATGCCTGCTCTCTTGGCATAATTAATAACAGTGCTCCTTTTCACTCTCAAAAGTGTCCCAATTCAGACAGTAAATTACACAGTCACCCTATTCAGAGCACATAGTAAGCACTTAATAGATGTCATAATATTATTATTATTACCAGTATTGATATGGTTTCCTAAAGAATCACAGTTAAAAATTCAGTTTCCATTCTGAATTAGTGGGAGTGGCCATGATTGAAGTTTTGATTGAGAGGGAGGGAGGGATAGACTAGCAGGTCTCTAAATTCTATCTTTGTATAGAATTGGAGAGCAGCCCAAATGGAGAAGGACATGTCAGGAAATACAGGGCAGGCAAATCCGGGGTTGGGGAATCTGTTAAGGTCATGAGTCATTGCAGATGCACTGAGATTAACGTTGGCAGAATATGCAACAGGCAGCGAGAAGTTCAACGCCTCTGAGAGAGACTTGGGACTCCAGGTACAATTGAGCATAACTCCGCAGGGGTGATGGCAGGAGCCATGGCAGTGCCTGAGTTTCCTAGGGGAAAAGTGGGACAGAGAAGATTGTAAAAAGGATGTAAAGGGAGAAGATAAAGATCTGAGGAAGGATATCTAAACAAGGCAGTTCTCCTTACACGTGAAGGTTGCCTTTGGACACTACCTTCTGTGTGGTAGACAGAAGAGCGGCTCGGAAGAGGAAGGGAGCAGAGCCAGAGCAGCAGCAGGCTTGCCTGCCTCCTCTGTCAAGCCCTTTCTCCTGAACTCCTTCTCCAGAGTCCTTAATCTCTGTTAAGCTCCTTGGAGAAGCTGCCTTATAGCAGCTTCAGATCTCCCAGATGTACCCTGACCTCAGAAAAACAGACCATTGTACGTGGCATTTCGGAGCTGGAAGCTGGTCAGCCAGCTCAGAGGACAGCAACAGCATCTCTCATTCACCTGAATAATAAAATCATTGACTTAAGTTCTCAGCGGACATTGGAGTATTTGTTTAACATTTCTGAGCTGCTGCTGACTGCTCAAGTTCCAGAAAACGCTCTCTTCCAAAGTAAAGCGTTTAAAATTAGATTGGGAATGGGGAGTAGTAGGGGAAGTCTGGGGTTTGCACTGAACTTTCACTGACCTTCCAGCTCCTTAGGGCGTGCTCCTTGTAATCAGTCCATCATGCCTAAGGAAGGAAAAGGGACAGCTCTCCCATGATGGCCAAATGCATCTGCCTGCTTAGCTGTCTGTTATCATCTCAGTCTCTAAACCACTTCCCACTCCTGATTCAATGCCCGTTTAACTCTTCAAGCCTGACTTTGTGGAATACATTGTAGTAGAAAAAAGCACGGGCGTGAATTTGAGCCCCAGTGCCACACAGTGTAACCCAAGGCTAACAACGTTGTGTTGGTTACCTATTGCTGCATAACACACTTACTGAACAAAAGGACTTGTATTACGTCTCCTGATTTTATGGTTTAAGTGTAAATCTGCAGTCTTAAGCAGGGTAGGGGTAAGGGAAAAATTGCAAACACATCTTAAACTTTTTAGTAGTCATGTTTATTATAGTGGTACAAGCAAAGCAATTCTCAAACTATTTCAGATGTATTAGGAGTGAGCAAATGAGAACAAAGGCTAATGCTGTGAAGAACCAGGGTTCGCCCTGTAGAAGAAGGGGCATGTGATTATGGAAGGTGGGGAGGCAATGTTGGGAGGAAGAAAATTTTCCTCAACCCTCTTAGGTTCAGTGCCTGAGGACCTACAAATTAAACTGACAAAAGATTGGTTAAGAAGAGAAAAAACAGATTTAATTATGTACATATGTACAACACGAGAAGTGAACACTGATGTAAGCTACAGACTTGGAGTGATTATGTTATGTCAATGGAGGTTCATGAGTTGCAGTAAATGTACCACTCTGGCAGAAGATGTTGATCGTGGGGAACACTGTGCATCTGGGAGGGGGTCTGGGGTTATATAGGAACTCTGTATTTGCGGCTCAACTTTGCTGTGAATCTAAAACTGCTCTAAAAAGTGAAGTCTATTTAAAAAGAAAAATTAAAAAGGGAGATGCTGATTTCTTCAAAAATTTCAAAGATCAAGAAAGACTGCGGAGCTGTTACAGAGTAAAAGTGGCTAAAGAGATGACTAAATGTAATACCTGACACTAGGCTGGAACCTGCACTAAGGGGAAAAATACACTATGAAGGATATTATTGGGCCAAGTGACAAATTTGTATATAAACAGATAAAAAAATTTGACAAAAGTGTTGCATCAGGGTTAAATTTACCATTCCAGCCGAATTTGTCTATTTACCATTGTCTGACTGTTCCTTTTGAATCACTTGCCATTCTTGCTGTCTGGAGAGATTTTGCCCATCTATTCACCTTCAAACTTGACAGTTACCCCGTGACCACTCAAAAGACCTGCCAACCATTTCAGCCCTGAGTGATCTAATCTTCCTCTGAACGCAGAGCCCCTGTCTCTGCACTGCTCATGTCATGCTTTTCTAGCCCGGCATTTTCAGATGTCTCCCTATATAAATGCATGAGATCTTTCCAACTAAACTGAAAGCAAAGTAATATCAGGAATGTTGCGTTATGCTTCCTTCTACATTATAGACCTTTCTTATGATAGATTTATTTGACATTAATTTATTTGACAATTCTTTATCAAGCAGCTACTATGCACTAGTTATTGTTAATACAAAGATAAATAAGACATGGTCCCCGCCGTCAAGGGACTTACAGTTCTATATGGCGAGCCAAACTATAATTAAATTTTAAATGTGCAAGGAATATAAAGGATTGTTTCAAGGAAGGCTCCATGGAGTAGTTGACACTTAAATTCAGTCTTGAAATGTGCATAAGTGTTCACCAGAAAAGAAACTCTTGGCAAGGTCTCAGTATGGTACACAGCTGGGAAAGTGTAGGTGCCAGAGGAAAGGCTTCCACATAACCTCCAAGTCTATGCCTCCAGGACTTCTGCATGAGAGCCACAAGCCTCACCCCACCCATCCCTATGGCTGCAATGCACATGAAAGGGAGATGGAGGTGGCTGACCTCAAGAGACTAAAGCCATTGCTGTAGAACAGGAGAGGTTATAGTGGGGAAGGGGTCGTTTCAGGGTTTGCCACAAGCAGGGAAATGAGAAGGAAGCCTTGATATTAATCAGGAGCATGTAGACAGTCTGTGAGATAGAGTATGATGAACCCTTCCTGAGAAAAAGCTGTCAGGCACTTGGGCGGGCTGCACACAGTGGCCCTGCACCTATAGCAGACAGACTGTCTGCTTTCTGCACAGACAGACTGATCAGACCATGATAAATGATGCAGATAAAGGAGGAAATTAGGCCACTGAGAAAGAAGGGGAAAATGAAACAGAAGCTCTTTATTCTATCAGTGATATTTCATTATCACTAATGTATGAGATAATTGATTCTTTTAGAGATCAGTGTATCTCTTCCTCTTTTTTGACAGAAAGAGAACTATAGAGAGAGAAACAATGTGAGGTGATTCAACATTTATACTTAGTAATCCACAGAGCATCTCACGGCCCTTCTCTATTGCTCTATAATAATTGCTCTAAATCTCTGTGTTTGCATTTTGAATACAATTCATTTTTCTCCATTCTCAGTACTTATGACGAATTAACATCTGTACAAAATTTGTCAATACTTAACATAATTTGTTGTTGCTGCTGCTGTTATTTCAATGAATATTCCTCCTAATTACTACTGCCAATGTTGGAATACTTAGCATAGCTCCTCCAGGGCAATCGTCACTCAGCTCCTCTTTGTCTAGTAATGAGGCTCTGATATCATTCTTTCCTTTGCAGGAACACCTCAGAACCTCAGAGACAACCCTCCTAGCTTTAAGAGTCTCTGTGGAGAAAGAGCTGTTCACTTCAGATTTTGCTGCTGCTGTTATTCAGGTTGGATCTTGGATAACTCTTTGTTGTAAACCGATCCAAATTATCACTCAAATGATAATCTGCAATGTTGTCTCTTTCTGTAAGAAATTGGAGGTTTCCCTTTACCTGAGGCCATGACAATTCTATAACAGGAAGTCCGTTCCCTGGAGAATCATCTGCTGACTCTTCAGCTGGATTCTTTCTATTACGCATTTCGTCTGTTTCCATCTCTTCGTCATCATCTCGTGCTCACTCACTTCACCCCAGTCACATCCGCCTCTGTAAGTACCTAGAAGATGCCAAGATTTTGCCTGCCTCAGGACTTTAGCACTTTCTGTTCTTTCTGCCTGAAAGTTCTTTTATATGACTGACTCCTTGTCCATCAGGTTCAGTTTAAATTTCCCCTCATCAGAGATTCTTCCCTGACCACCCTGTCTATACTCCTTGTCTTAGTCCGTTCAGGCTGCTACAACAAACTTCCATATACCAAGTGACTTAGAAACGACGGAAATTTATTTCTCACAGTTCTGGAGTCTGGGAAGGCCAAGATCAAGATGTCAGGAGATCTGATGTCTGGTGAGAGCCCACTTCCTGGTTTATAGATGGCTGCCTTTTCACTGTGTCCTCACATGGTGGAAGGGGCCAGGGAACTCTCCAGGATCTCTTTTAAAAGGGCACTAATCCCACTCATGAGGGCTCCACCCTCACGACCTAATCACCTCCCAAAGGCTTCACCTCCTAACACCATCACATTTGGGGCTAGGATTTCAACATCGGAAGTTTGAGAGGACACAAACATTCAGTCTATAACAGTCCTGTTCTACCCGCCAGTGCCTCTATCATATCATCTTATTTTTTTCCTCCATAGCTCTTATTATAATCTGTAATTATTTTTACTTAACATTGCTCTGCCTCTACTACAATATATATTTCAAAAAAGTAGGGTCTTTGTCTGTCTTTTTCACAACTGAGTTACAGTGCCTAACACATTTCCCACATTTCCTGGTGTGGGGGATAAGAATTGCCCACCCCAAAATGTTTGTCTTTGGCTTGATTATCTTTAAGAACAAACGACTCTGAAAGAAGCTTTGATCTACCCCCAACTGCTTAAAAGAAATTCAAGATAAAAGACCAGTCCCCAGGCGAGGCCATCACCACAGATAACTCTGGGTATCTGTAGATTGGGAGGGTCCTCGCTAAGCCCATTCTTATCAAAGTACTGTCTATCGGACATTTGCTTTTCCATTTCCATGTGAATTGTCTTCCTCCCCTTTGAAGTCCCAAACCACTACCCCCTACACCTTCCTTTGTCTTCAGCTGAAGATGATATTTAAAGTGACAGCTTTGGCCATTCTGGCAAGTTACCCAGTTTTCCTGGGTTTCTCCCATGTATACATATTGTAATCAAACTGCGTTTGATTATCTTGTGTTAGTCTGTCTCATGTCAATTTAATTCTTAGGCCAGCCAGAAGGACCTGGAGTGGGTAGAGGAATTGTCTTCTTCCCTCATACCAACTATGTGACTTTCTGGGAAAGGCAAAACTATGGATAAAGTAAAAAGATAAGTGGTTACCAGGGGTTGGGAGGTGGTGGGAGAGATGGGTGAATAGGCAGAGCGTGGGGGATTCTTAGGGTGGTGAAACTATCCTGTATGATACTGTAATTGCGGAAACATGGTGATGGGGTTCAGGATGAGCCACCTCAAAACATGGCACCTTGGCATATTGAACATCTTAAGCTGAAGGAGTTTAAGAAAACAGCAGAAACAGGAAGGTCACTCTTACATCCCCCCCTTGCCCTTCTTCCCTGAAAGCGGGAGATAAATCTCCCATGTGAAAGGTACCCTTCCCGTAGGAGGAAGGGAGATATCCTTGTCACCAGAGTCAGGGAATCTAGGGCCAAGAAGACCGTATAAACACATCTTGCTACTTCTTCACCATCAATTACCCATAGACCAAACCCGTTTGTCTTGTCAGTTCTTCACAAATTGATTGTTTCTTTCTCTAAAAGGTACAAAAGCTTCCTGCTCTGGTTACTTGTTTGGGTCTTCATTCTCCTGTGAAAGCTCCCATGTAATTGTGAAAATTTAATAAAATTTATATGCTTTTCTCCTGTTAATCTATATTTGCCAGTTTAATTTTCAGACCCAGTCAGGGACCCTACAGGGGTCAAGGAAAACTTTTTCTCCCCTACAATGACATATTGCATTTGTTGAAACCCATAGAACTGTACGGCACAAAAAGTGAATCCTAATGTAAATTGTGGGCTTTAGTTAATAATAATGTCTCAATATTGGTTCATCAATTATAACAAAAGTACTACACTAATGCAAGATGTTAATAACAGGAAAATTGTGTGCTGTGTGGTTAGGAGATAAGGGAGAAGAGGATTATGGGAACTCTCTGTAATTCTGCTCAATTTTTCTGTAAAGCTAAAACTGCTCTGAACAAATAAGTCTATTAATTTTTTAAAAAAAGAAAAAAAAGTGTCTGTTTGCCTAGCACTGGTATATCCTATTCTACAGCCAGATGTATTAGAATAGTCCCCCTTCTCTCTGCAGTTCCACAATTTGAAATTACCCCAAGCCCACAACCAGAGGAAAACAATATCAAATTACCCACGTTCTTAGGCAGGGGTCTCCAATCCCAGCCTCACACCAGAATTGCCTGTGGAACTTTTAAAAATGCTAAGATCCCAGGACAACTGAATCAGAATCTTGGGGAGTGAGGTCTTTGCATGTCCATGTTTAATAAGCTCCAGAGTGATTCTGATACCCATTCCTACTTGAGAACCATTTTTTTTTTGTCTGACACTGATTTTCGCCCAATGCCCAAGTTCTCAAGACTGGGCTTCTGCCTGACTCCTGAGATGAAATTTCTACTTTGTCTTAATTCAGGCAGGTGCATTCCTGTCTTGCTACCATGAGATGCAAGACAGATGGAGGAGGGCATGAACGGGAACTACTTCTCTTATCTATCTCTTTCAAATCATCTCAAATCTTGGAACTGTAGGAGAAGAAGAGTATCTTTTCCTTCTATCCTTCTAAGTTCTCAGCTGGGGATCCCTGTAACAAAATATAGATTAACAAGAGAAAAGCATATAAATTTATTTAATATGTTTTACATGACACACGAGCCTTCCTAAGGAAATGAAGACCTGAAGAAGCAGTTAAATCCGAGCGTTTTTATGCTAGGTTTGATGAAGAGTAGAAAGTCGTGGAAAGATGTCATAGAACAAAAGGTATGAGCTAAGCGTAACAAACTGGGGGAAACTTAGCAAGGCCTGTCTGTTCAGATTCCCCTCAGCATCTCTCCGTCTTTGGAGATAAGGATGCGCCTTTCCTCTGGATAGGGAGGGCACCTCTCACACAATGATCTTATGACCTGCTTCAGGGGAAGGTGGGAAAGTTCTTCCTGCACCTGCCATTTCTCAAATTTCTTCAGCTTGAAATAGTCAATATGTCAAGGTGCCATATTCTGGAGTAGGATGTCCTGAGTGCAGTCAGAAGCTCCCTGTGTAGCAAATGGACCCTGGTGGTTGGCTTGGCCCTTGTGCCAGCCCTACACTTCTAAAGCAAGTTCATGGCATATGAGGTGTGTCTATTAGGGACTCTCTATTTAAACACACGTGTGTCTTCTCCACACGCTCAACTGTTATTTAGTCTATTCCTTTCCCTAGATTTTTATATATGCTTTTGACTGCAAAAGTAATGGCCCAAATCCATTGTCATAGGAATAACAGAAGATTAGTATCTTAAACTAAACAGTTACTTATTATAACAATTATCAGGCATATTCAGACCTCTTAGAACACTCCCTCTTCCATGGTTGCTGAGGTATTTCTGTGTCAGGCATCTGACCAATGAGTGGCCAGAACAGTGAGTCAGAGGCTGATGCTAAGTGATGAGTTCTAAGTTCCTTTGTGAGGTTTAGTTTTCTTGTTTCTGCAGAGCTGAAGGCCTAACACTCAAAATGGCCCCAATTCTTAGCCCATTGGCCAATTTGGGCATGTGATACCATTTTTTTTTGGTCCAATTGCATACTATTTCTTACAATGCCTTTCTTCCTTTCCATACCAGCCTTAGGAGCTGTATTTATTTTCCTGCACAAGTCATAAGTTTTCCATATTACCTGAAGGGAAAAATTGTCCAAGACTTGGAAATAGACAAAAGAGATTACTAGATGTCCTTTCATTGAAGTGCTGGGAGTTATCTCACAGACCCACTGGGGATGAACAGACACTACTGAGGAGCATACCTTTGATCAACATGCAGGGTAGAAATGAAATCATACAAAACCGATAACAACCCAGATGTTTCCTGTTTGTAGTAATGCAAAGGAATTATGTCTGGCAGAAAATATAAATTTTTGTAAACCAAAATTACATTGGAACTGTTTTAACTCTTTACTGATTTCCTCATTACTGAATGAGTTGAATAAAATGAATTTATTTATGAGTTTATTCAGTATCATGGGTTTATTTCTTTTTTTTTCCTTTTTCTCCCCAAAGCCGCCCAGTACATAGTTGTATATTCTTCGTTGTAGGTCCTTCTTGTTGTGGCTTGTGGGATGCTGCCTCAGCGTGGTTTGAAGAGCAGTGCCATGTCCGCGCCCAGGATTCGAACCAATGAAACACTGGGCTGCCTGCAGCGGAGCTTGCGAACTTAACCATTCGGCCACGGGGCCAGCCCCTTGGGTTTATTTCTTAAAACTTTCATGATAGTCATGTTTTTAACTTTTAGAAAAAATTATACTTTAACACTTCATACTTTTACAGGTGTAATTTCCTTTTCCTGGGATAGCTTTTCTAACCTAATCAGCTTGGTTTCCTATCCATCTTGCAAGGCTGTGCTCAGATGTCCTGTCTTCTAAGCTTTCCCTCTTCCTTCTCCCCCTCTCTAGGCACAGAACAACTGTCCAGCCTTAATTTGTTCAGACTCTACCAGCACTCATTGCATTCTATTATAATTGTCAAAGTATATTATAATTATGCCAAAATTGGTATAATTGAAGAGTAAATTCAGTTAGAAAACTTCAAACCTGCTGTCTCATCTCCCACTCTCTGCTCTAGAACCTGGAAGGGTAGAAGAAAAAGATTTTTTTCCTGTCCTACACTACATTTTGAAGTGGTATTTAATGTGAAAAAATATTGGTATTCTCTATATGTAAATTGATTGTTGATGAAGAACTACTGGCTTAACACTAATGTCTTGTGAGTTTGGTTGGTATAGGTCATCATCTCCCAGGTGTCTATTCATTCCCGGGTGCATGGAAAACTTGCAAAGCTACGGAGCTGCCCCTGGATCATAATGATCAACCTAGATTTGTTGGCTGCTCATTGAGGCCCAGAGTTCTAGGAAGGTGTGCAGTCACTTAATTGAAAATGGTGATACCATGGTCTTTTCTCGAATTGTTTCACAGCTGGAGTCATTCAACAGTACAGGAGGCTGAAGAACACAAGGTACTTTAATGTTTAGTATTTCTTCCTCCCCATCCCTGCCCTGGGCAAATTATGTGGAGTGACCATTTCTCTTACTCTGTATCTCTCTCTTGCGCATAACAAACAGAAGTCTCATGGACTCTGGTTACTTGTGTCCTCAAGATTTCCTGCTCCAATTTACTTCCTCTTTCCTCCTACAAAGTTTGTCTTAAGCCCAATTCTTGAGGAGAGCTGCATTTTAAAGTTCTCTAACCCCGCCCTATTTCTCTGCCAAAGGAAAATGGTTATTATCAGATAAACTCAATTATGCTGAAATCTTCTACTAATGTGTTATCCCTCAGGAAAGGTAATGCCTTAACCTATCCAAAATGCATTAGCCTCCTTAGAGACATTCTTAATGAAAGTGCAGTAGGGACCTCTGTCAGTCTGTGGCTGATAGAGAAAGTCCTTTTTAATCCTTGGAATTTATAGCTTCCATACAGATGAAAGCACCTGCATTTTTTTCTTTCTTTTTTTTTTTTCTTGCTAGGGAAGATTATCCGTGAGCTAACATCTGCCACCAATCTTCCTCTACTTGGTATGTGGGTTGCTGCCACAGCATGAGTGACTAGTGGTGTAGGTCTGTGCCTGGGATCTGAACCCCTGAACCCAGGCCACTGAAGTAGAGCACACCAAACTTAACCACTATGCCATGAGGCTGGCCCTGTATTTTTATATTAGAAATCCCCATCTTCTGGTGCTAGGTAGAGGAGATGATTGATGGGCACTGGTCATGCTTGTTTTATCAAAGTCAAAATTAAAGTACCAGCCGAAGGATGGGAAAGGAAGAAAACCAATATTGACTGAGCATCTACTGTGGAGCAGGAAAATGCTGCATATTTTATACCCAGTCAGCTCTGCCTACGCCTCTCAACCTGGGTGGAACTCAGCATGTCACCACAATCAATGCCTAGGTCACAACTTTTCCCCAGCTTACCACATAAATAGTTACACTGTCATCATACACGTAAGCACATTACACACATTAGACACACACATATAATGCACACCTTAAACCTACAAACAGCACAAATCACATCCAAGCATAATCTATATCAGACACACCTATAACACCTATACCAATCACATAGCACATACGTGGCTCACATAACAAATATAAATGTCACACACATTGGAATGATTTAATTTATTTAGGGGAGGGAAGATCATTCAGTTTAAGTAGGTACAAGGAGAGTCAATATCAGGAAAATTCCTCAGTTAGTCAAAAAGAGATGCCAGATGAGCTGAATCTTTTAAAAAAATATAAAAAAAATCAGGGGAGTGAGGACAAAAGGATACACCAGGCAGAGAAACAACATAGGCAAAGTTATGCTATCAAGAAACCATGTGGTACATAATTCTAAGCAGTTGGAAAACATTGGTGCATAAATGCAAAGTAGGGAGTAGCAGGAGCTATTGATGCAGGCAGGAGTCACCCTTCAGAAGCATTGAATACTCTACTAGAAACCTGGGGGTGTGGGTAGACATTCTAGTTGCTAATCTCTAACAACCGGATGTCCTCTATGCTATCAACAAACCCATTCATGCCACAATGGAATTCAATGTGACTATAGCTCCTGTGCTCTTTGTAGCTCTGTTTGTTATTCCTCTGGTAGCACCTGAGTATTTTGAAGGGATACTGGGCCCACACGTAGACGTTTCTGTAGCGATCTCTCCAGTTCCTGATGCATACATGCTCAATTTTGTGCCAAAAGGTATAGATGAAGATGTGATAGTTCTTGCCTCTGAGAGCTTCTCTTTTTCTCATGAGGTCATTACATCTGTACTCACTGAATTCCAAGCTTGTGCTCAGATGATGCTGTTTCATGAATTCCTTCCAGGAAAGGTTCTCGCTGTGTACAAGGAGCCCACATAGAGGGAACATCAGGGCCAGGAGAGGGCCTAGAACCTTTAGAGAGGATGCCATCTCAGTCACCAAGGCCACCTTTGAGTCCACAGGGAAGAGAGAGGAAAGCATTATCTCGACGTGGCCCTAAAACCTGAGTTCCATCTTAAAATTCCTTTCCCTGCCAATGTAGGCACTTGGGCTCAATTTTACCATTTGGTTGCCAGACTAGAAGATGATAAGTCTCACTAGATAAGAAGAGTTAAAAGAACTGAAAATATTCTAAAACCTGACTGAGACAAACACAAAATTGTAATAAACAGATGAAGTTTATTTTCAGAATTCCATACACCTCCTGTCCACCTTCTCTTCCACCCAAACTGAGGAACCAGTCACCCTCTAGCTAGCTCTGTTTTATAGTCCAGGTCAGTTCTCACAAGAGCATGTATCCAAAAGAGAATGCTACTTGAAGTTTCATGTTTGTGAGTGGAAAGAGTTGTCACCTTTCAAAGGAATGTAGAAGATGAATAAAGACTTGGGAGAGTTTTTCCGAACGGGAAGTCTTTGGTTCCCCAAAATCCCAGGCTGCAGTTACACTGACTCTGCAAGATGGTGCTTATCTGACCTTGACTTCCTTATAACACTTCCCCAAAGCCTGTGTGAAACACTTAGCACTTCTGACTATGCACACCCCTTCTCAGAGGCCATTTCCTTAATTACCATCATTATAAATGATCTTGATTTGTCACTTAGAATGTCATCATAAAGGAACTCCAGTTTTGAAATATTGCTCAAGCACCAAGATTGAAACTGCCCTCACAGGAGCTACTCTGGTCAAAAGTTAGAGCATGGATTTGTTTGAAAAAGTCTTCCTTTTAAACTAGCTCTCTGTCCTCATTTACCATAAGGAGTGGAGCTGGCCCTACCGGACCTCCAACCTGATTCTCAACTCTCTGAGCACTGGTGTCCTTAAATGGGGCTAATAATAGCTCCCTCACAGACCTGTGAGAGTTTAGTGAGATACATGTGTGCCAGCAATTCTGAGGGTGTCAAATGCTACATCAGGCACAGCTCAAGGGGTAGGCACTTTCTCATTTCTGGCACCCTATCCCTGGTCCAAGGCTTAAACAGGATGAGAAGATCAGGATTCAAGCTGCTTCGGTGTGCTATGCTTGGGAAGATTCAGGAGGAAGCCTGGTGAGGGGATTGGGAGGTGGCAAGGGAGAAGGGACTGTATCAGTGAGATTAATGCTGAGTTGAATTCAGGCATTTGCTTCCTACAAGTTGGATCACATTCCATTCTTAACTCTACCATTTAGAGGTTCAATCAAGCCCCTTCAGGTGTTCCTGGGCCTTTCCCCCAAGCATCCTCAGCAACAACCCTTCTAACTCACTCAATTCAGATCCAACACTCACGTCACTGGTTGTAGTGGGGATCAGTATGTGAATCTGAAGAGCAGGGAGTCTGTGTCCTTCCCCTTTTCTCAGAACCAAGAAGTCTACAGCAGTGGAGAAAGGAGTAGCTGTTGGAGGTA